ATCGTAAATCGAAATGGAAGGTGTGTCATTGCGACTTATAAATAAAATTAACCGCAAGCACAAGCGGAAATATTTGCGCTTCAAGTGTTGTTGTTGTTGTTGTTGTTGGGTTACGCATCTCCTTCTGCCTCATTGCTCTTGATGTTGTCGTTGTTGCTGTTGCTGTTGCTGTAATTAATGGCAAACAATTACAAAAAAGAAAAAATACAATAAAATAAAAAAAGAACCCAACGAGCAGCGCGCATCCAAAGGTGGAATTACAAAATGAAATGTGAAGAGCAAGTTAAAAAGTGAATTACCTGATAAAGGACAAAACGCGATTTGAGGTGTGTTTGTGCCCGTCCAATACAATGCGTGTCCTTCTCCCTCTCTCGCTTTCTTCCCCAGGTGTGCCTTGGGCAGGTTATAAACCCGTGCCCAGCATGAGGCTTTACTGACAGCCAGAAGTGTTGCACAGTGGTACCAAACTGCACAATCTCTGAGTTGGCCCCATGGATTCCCAATGATTGATATAAATTATAATTCTTAGATCACGAATATATAGTTAAATAACCGTTAGCTACTGCTTGCTTTGTTTGCCTTTGGCTTAGCAGTCCCACTGTGCGTCACCTCCGTAATGGTCGGAGCCGTCTTGTCCATTGTCCAGCTGACGAGCTTAATTAATTACACGATTGTGAGTAACTGCCCGGACAACGGACAGCGGGCATCGAGGAGCGGGCTTTTAGCCAACTTTGGGTGTTTCTTTGCTGGTCATTGGCCGGATCAACAGCACCCTAGCAGCGCCCCCAAGCTGCCCCTCCACACTCGCCGCCAAAAAGTTGCGTATCGATGAGACGCACACAAAGTTCGGTCTGCGTGTGTGTGCGTGTGTGGCACTGCAATCGCGGCCTGGGCTCGCGCGGGGCAGTAGAAGACGCTGGGGAGAAATTAATACCTACTTAAGCCTAACTGGACAGTTGACTCCGTAAAGTTGTTGGCCTTAACTGGAAAGTGATTCACACGAATTTGCATTGGCATGGAATGTAATTGGGTTTGGCTTTGGTTTTGCTTTGGCTTTGGCTCTGAGTCGGGGTTCGGGCGGCAACATGCAGCGCAACTGCTGAATATTCAAATGGCCGCAATTATCCTGTGTTTGCTGCGCAGGGCATGCGACACGCCCGCCAGGACTAGAGCTGCCTACCAAATTATGAAGTTACCATATTTTTATTACCAAAAATTACAATGTGCGTTGCTGCAGCTGGGGCCAATGCTGAAAGAAACCAAAAGGTGCAAGGCGAAGGGTAAAACGTTAATTGCACGTTCAAGGCGCAGTCCAAGCGAAGCGGACTTCAGCTTGGGTCTTAAGGGTCAACAGCAGCTTTGTTCTCGGTCAGCGCATAGGTGTGTGTGGGTGTGTGTGGGTGTGTGGGTGTGTAGGTGTGTGTTAAATAGTCGCGACCCGTCGCCAAATAAACAGCCTATTCCACCACAGCACACGCTGCTTAGCTGTCGACGGGTGGTGGCCCCTGTCAAACGACTTTTGGGGAGGTCAGTTCTGATACACATGAAGGTACACTAAAAAAAAATGGTATGCCTAGCACTATTCAAATATGAAAGGCTTAAATCATATTTTCATGCACTTAGAATTTTTAGTAAAGCATAAAAATTGCAACTTAATGTTGTGTCTTGATTTGGGTTCGAGTGGAACCAAGTTTTTCGCTCAGTGTATATTCATACTCTATAATAAATGCTGATCTATGGCCACTCGAAGCTTGGTTTTATTTTCGTTGAAATTAAAAACATCTATGAATATTTTGCTTGATGAAAAAATGTAGAGGTATTTTTTTCAGTGTATATAGGGTATAGTTTTATGCATATGTAAATACACGAATTTTATTTAATTTATGCGTAAATCAATTTTTGAATTATAACTCTTGTGGCTTTTCCTAAGGTTTGAATTGACGTTAAAACACCCAACTTGTTTCTCTCAGTGTATATTGTTAAGCTATAGGCATGTGAGCTGCCTGCGACTAATACTTTACTCATATTATTTCTAGCTTAAAAACATGATTTTTAGCCACTGAGAATCAGAAGTTTTTCTCTCAGTGCATGTAGATGTGCTGTATACATGTGTTCCGTGCGCCCATTACGCTTAATTTCATTAGAAATTCATAAATAGGTTCACAGTGTGCGTTTTGGTCGAGGGGTGGGGGAGGCGTCGGTCAGTGGGTGTCCGTGGAGGGGCCGGGGGCGGTTGCTGGGATGTCACTTGTACATGTGTAAATGTGAGCAATAAAAAACGAATTTCATGTAGTTTTTTTTTTGTTTCGCTTGCTGCTGCCTACCGCTGTGAGTGTTATCCTGGCAGCCCTTTTGTTACGTTGTTGTTGTTAGTTAGTTACCGTGTTGGAAGCAAATTGTTGTTGTTGTTGGGTCATTATTGTTGTCGTAATTTGTTTATAACGGTATTTATGAAATGGTCACAAGTCAACGCCATCAACCCTTAGACAGTCGAAGGACACGCACTGCCAAGCACAGCCCCGCCACGCCCCGCTCTCACCCAGCCAGTCTGCCCGCCTCTTTAGCCACCCACCCACACCCACACACGAGTTTTGGCGCTCAGCGCCAATTATTCTTATTACGCCTATTACTTTTTTTAACTACTTTGAGTTGTTGTTGGCTTTTGCTGCCCTTTTATGTTAATCGCACAGTTTTTGGCTCGTGTAACTGTAATTGATATGCGTCCTTATCATGCAATCCTTTGCTACGCACACAGAGAGAGCGAGAGGGAGACAGCGAGATTGACCCATTGCATTGCTTCGGAATTATCGATAGTCTGTGATGATGGACCTACATAGCTGAGGTGTATTGTCTTTCGATGGAGAGTCGAGTTTTGTCTTGTTTCTTGCTTTGTCTAATTAATAAACTTTCACATCTTCAGTCTTTTTTCTGTGGCTTGGTGGCATTTTCACTTGCAGTGGACAAAAATGTCGAATCGTTTTATGTAAATTATTGTTGAAGAAGCGGCAGAGGCAAGAAGTAGCAGCTTTGTTGGCTTGCCATGATCAATTAAATGGCCAGAAGGCAACGAACTTGGCTATCTCAGATTGAATCGGAATTGGAATTGGAATTGGAATTGGAATAATTTATTGGATTTTGACAGTTAGACTTTAATTACAGCATTTCTGTTTTTATCGCCGAGGTCTCTTCGGCAGGGAAAGCGTCTGTCGATTGGCAACACATGACTTCAACTACGATCCGTTGCGCTGGTCAACCTTTGACCTCTTGCCGCACAGGTAAAGGCGCAATTGCACACTGAGTGCTACCTTTTTCTCTGGCTCGCTCGCTCTCTTTTTGTCTTGCTGTTGGATATCATAAAACAATAAATCTTTTTAATATCTCTGCCGCTTCTTTTATTTTTCACATTTTCTTCGTTTCGGGGGCGTTCATTTTCCTTTTCAGTTTTTGAAAATTTCTCACGTCCTTTCGTAGAGGCGTTGGCATTACTCAAGTTTGTGGATTTGAAGTAATAACTCAGTGCGTCATAAAAATTTTAATTGCTTTGGGCTGTTGTTTTTTCTGTCGGTCAACCGAAGTGCCAAAGCAGTTTTGGTAATTAACATTAACCCAAAAAGCGTACCAAAAACACAATGCCAAGAACCCGGCCAGGAGTCAAACGCCAACAACAATATCAAAACGAAAGACAAGTAAAATTGTACTCCAGTCGGAAGTACACGACTAGAAAATACCTTGCCTCTTGACAATTGAATTCTGTTTCTATTTTCGGCAGACTGCGCAGAGCGCTTCAAAAAAGGAACTGTTTGATATTTGTCTATAACTATGAAGAATCTAGATACCAATTTTGATATTCCTTGCTCTTATAATATGCGAGATATGTTGACTTGAAGCCAGCCCTAGCAAGTCCTGAGCCAATGGCTATAGCAAGGCAGCCAAAGAGAATCCAATATCTAAATTCGTATATAGATTATAATTTGGAATGAAATATGCTCTAGTAACTGGTTTCACTTCGAATTTAATTCAGAATTTAATGAAGTAAGAGCTCGAGGCTTTCATATATGCAGCTAGATAGGTGTCTTTAGGAGCGTACTTCATATAATTGCCTTATACCATTTGGGCTCGACTGCTTCTGCCTGTTACAAACAGTTTAGAGCAACGAGCATACCCCACTTGGGCATTTTCTAGGGGCTCAGTGTATACAAAATAAAGAACAATGAAGCAATAAAAATTGCAGCGCATAATTTTCATCTGCCTCCATTTGGGGCTTTCGCTGCCCAACCCCCTAAGTGAACCCTTTTTTACTTGCTGGGTAAGATTTTTGAAATTTTCACGCGTATTTGTAATTAGTTTGCTTATTGTTTTCACGTTTTTTGATGGCAGTTGTATAGCTCTTAACGTTTTTCCCAATCTCTGAATACACGAAGCTGGAACAGCCGACAAATTGGAAAGGTGCTCAGCAAAGCTTTTCGCTGTTGTGATAAGAGTCCTGCGCGCTATGGCCTATGATTGAGATCCTTGTGCATTTGGCAGCGTCTACCTTTGTGCACTTCCCTCAAAACATAACAATAACAAAAGGAAAATCGAATGCAGTCACAACAATTGCAGCGAGCGCAGCTGTTTGTGGTGCTCGAATCTTTGATCCTGCTCGGATTTACGAAGCAAACAAAAAGAGTCAGTGTCATGCAGGAAATTTATTTTTGGGTTGAGCGAGCAAGGAAAATCTTGGAAAAATCAACAGCAATTGTTGTGCACTTTGATGTTTGGTCCAGCTATACGGAGTGCTAAGTGGCTGCAATTAGAAGAGTCAGCAGTCAGGTAGACACCGGTCCAAAGGCAACCGCCAGAGCTCTGCAGAGGTGGGCACGATCATATCGAATTGAAATTTAGGACAATCGAGCGTGCGGCAATAAATTTTTTAGCATTCGACACTTTTATCATTGGGGGTAGTTGAGAAGAGTCCTAAGATCTTGTGCTAACGCTTCGCCTCTTCTTTCCACTTACAGATCGCAACGGGACGACGAGTACAGCCAGCACGCAGCTACTAAATGTGAGTATCTACTTCTAAATATACGTATATTCGATGCTCGTAGACTGGGCTGTTGAAATCAATTCGCTAATTGAATGCCACGCAATTGAAATGCTCCTTTCTGATATTTGTTAAATGCGTACGGAACACCGGGGAGCCGAGCGAGCGCTTAATAATCTTAATAGAATCAAAGACCGACGCAATATGAGTTTTAATTCAACGTAATTGTGGACAACTCAGAGCTCTTCAGCCAGACAACTCGCTGTACTCGACCACACATACATAACATATTTGCAAACAATGAATGCAACTCGCCCCTCCCGCGAAACGCGCTCAAATCAATTAACAAAATGTCTCCAGTACGACTCGAGCCGCAACTGTTTCCAAAACAAAAAAATAGTAAACCAATTGTCAAAAATCTGAAGCTGACATCCAAAGAGTCTAAAGCAAGGGTATTCTGTGTGGCACTAGTAAACAAATGTATTCCCTAAACCTATTTCTGAATGGTTAAACCGGGCATATTGGCTTTACTAAAATGCCACACGTCTGAATATACTTGAAGACTTGTACTTGATGCTCTGTCTGTCTGCTCGTCTGTCTGACTATGTTTATCTCGAGCACTACTAAAACTAAGCATTTGGAATTTCAAATATATATACTTGAAGATCGTATATAGCTTAAGTTATGTACTTTACTACAATAACTTACTAGAATACTACAGTTTGATTATATTGAAAGGATCCAAATAGCAAAAATGCAATTCCTTCTTGTATACTTTGCTCTATTTCCAATTGAGTATATTCCTTGATATCATAGAAATTTAAATGAAATTAAATTTTAATTAAATTCTAAAAAGCTTCAAACATTCTGAGCACAAGTTATTCAAAACTAAATGCTTGTGGCAAGAATCTGCGCAGTGCCATAGTCGAGCATGCCCGACTTGAGAGCACTCTCACTTATACATCTCTGTGTTTAGCGCTTCAAAGGGGTGCGTCCACGGACAGAACGCCCCTTGGCTCACTCTTTAAAGACTGGCGCGCCGATTTTTCTGAACAGCTTCAATTGTCTGCACTTGAGTTCAATTTTTGTTGCTCTAGTGTATTCGGTCAGCAACAGAAGCAGAAGCAGAAACAGAACAGAAACAGAAACAGAATCGGAATCAGAAACAGATTCACAAATAGCAACTAAAGCAACAACAACAGTAGCAGGAGAGCCAATAATTTTTGGGGATAAAATGCTTTCAAAGCTTCTTCTAGCTGGCATATTTTTAGAAGCAGAGCAATTGCTCGTGCAAATGTCATAACTATAAAATTGATTAAGATTCAAATGAACTCTGTACAAATTGAGATACACAATTATTACGTGCTCAATGTCGATGTACTCTTTGATGATGTACCATGATGGGCACACTTCATGTAGTTGCAACTTGTGAACCGGACGATCCTCTTTCGATAGGGGCTATCAAATAGAAACCTAGTCCAAGCACATGTGTGCATCTGTAGGAATGTGGGCGGAGGCGACTGTGATGGCTTGTCATTTGGTCGACAAATGAAAATTACAGAGGCTTAATTACTTTTAATAAAGACGTCCGTGCGTGGAAATTTTCTACTTCATTAGCAAAATATGGTTTTGCATAATGGCTCATTATGGCAGCAGATGGGGCAGATCGGGTCGGACAAGTGATCATGGGTGGGTGGGTTGTTTGGTTGTGTGAGGTCGCCTTAATACACACAAATTGAAAATTGATGAACTTATCCGGTATGGAGACGACGACGGCGACTGCCACTCGAGTATCAATCAATGGAGAACGATGCGATCGATCGATCAGCTTGAAGGGAAATTACTAATAACAATGACTTTAATTGAATATTGCGCACTTCATTTCAATTCTTATACACAATAATGAATTTGAATTTGAATTTCAATTCGAATTTCGAATTTCGTATTTTGAGAGCAGCAGTCAAGCTATTCCAAACTATCCATTATAAACTTCAAATCGACCATAAACACTTAAGCTTTTCGTGTGAACATGTGTGAGTGTGTGTAGGTGTGTGTGTGTGCATTACCGATCGATTCATATGTGAGCCAACTGACGTTATATTTGGATACGCCGGATAATGAAGTTGGCCCCAAGATTCGCAGCGTACTTGCGTGGTGGTTGCGCTGCGCTGCTGCTGCTGTAGGGTGCCAAGCGCGTTCCGTTGGCTCCCGCAAGCAATTCATGCATGAAAGCAATTTTTAATTTATTTTGGTTGAGCGCTTCATTTTCCTAAAATTATGACATAATCACAACAGCAGCAGCAGCAGCAGCAGCAGCAGCAGCAGCAACAACAACAATAAAAGAGTCACCTAATAATGTCATGTGAAATTTATCGTACACCAAATGAGTACCAGGGGCGTGGCTGCAGAGCTGCGGACTAAGCGTGGGGTGGGGGGACAGGCGAACTGGAAATATAGACAACGCTCTCTGTATGGGTAAATGTATATTTGGATGCGACGAACACCTTCCGCTTCACAAATCAGCGCATGTGTTGGCATTGTCAGCTCCGAGAAATGGAGCGGGAGGCAGGCAGAGGCACGGGCGCTGGGCGGGTAGGGGGCGTATGGAAGCTTGGCTGACCAGTTGTCAATCGCTTAATGTTAATTTTATAATTAACCTACTGCGCGCAGCAAAATCGGCACATAAAAATAAAAAACAACAAGAGCAAAGGAGAAAAAAAACATCAAAACATTCAAGCCAAGTGCTCGAATATCGATTGAACACATTTAAAATGAATTTAATGGCACCGGCCCCGTGGCCCAGTGTGAGAAACAGTAACAAATTGACTAGCGACTCAAATCAATTGCTTGAGCTGAAGATCCAATGAAGTTAAACGAGCATCGCAAATATTATTGAGACCACACCCAAAGCCTAGGCGGCTCTAGGCGGAAGGTTTCAACTGGTTCTGGGCCCTAAGACTTACTTAAGTTTTCATTTTCCCTCAAGCTTACCTCTAGACTGATTCTATTTGATAGTCAATTGCTCTGGACTGAAACTGTATTTAGTTTATATACCTGTTCAACTCTAGTCTTACACTTTCTCATCCTTCTTCAGTTTTTTTTTCAGAATTTTGTAAGCAGAAATTTAATTTTCATTCTATGAGTCTGAGTGGGTCAAAATTTGTCTTTGTTTTTAAAAATGTTAACTGGCAAAAGCCGCCCAGTTTTCTTTGACATTTGAATTGCATTTTTAAGCATTTTATATATATATAAATAATTATATATATATATAAATATATTTTAATTCGAATTTCTTTTTCGATTTTAAATCTAAATTTTCTTTTTTTTGTGTTTTTTTCGGGTCGAAATGGTGAGAAAGAAAATTAAATAAATAAAATCAAATTAAGAATCAGTCTTAGGCCTATATATCTTAGAGCTTAACATAAAACCGAGCCGTTTTCTGTTCTAGATTGACTTGAATTCAATTTGAGTTCAATTTTATTCATATTTCTTTTCTTGATTGATTACTTCAAAATTATAAAATTTCAATTTCATTTGTCATTGATTATGGTTAGTAGAAATATTCCTATTAAGACTCTGTTTGAGGAGTCGACATTACAGTAAAAAACAAAACTCTTTGATTTTCTCTCAATCTTAACTCGAAGCTCAATCGATTTCAAGATTGAAGCTGTATTCAGTTTTTTTTTTTTAAATTAAAAATAATTAAAAATTGTACAGGGTTTTTTCGGGTCAAAAATCATTTAACACCTGACTCAATTTTTATAACTAACATTAAAAAAGATAAAAAGAAAAAAAAAAAAACAAGTGTAAATCAAATGAGAACGTGTGAAACCGAGTTGCTGACCCGAAAAATGGGTTGTCCGAAATAAATCCGGCTACAGCAAAGACAAAATGGTTGATAGTATCAGAAATAATTAGATGGAATACCGTGGGCGAAGTATGCAGATGGATCAACTGATGTAAACACGATCGTTAAATGAAGCATTGAATAACGAAACAATACAGAAACAAAAACACAAGCACACACAGAGAGGCAGACACACACACACGCACACGCACACACACCCGAGTACAGTGACAAACAAATAGAAATAGAAAAGAAAACAAGTTAACCAATGAAATAAACGCAAATTTAATGACAAAAACGCGAGCGGCAACAACTTGGCCAATACGCGTGGCCATTGCCAGAGCACATTACAAACCACACAATGCTAACGTCAAAGCGAGAGATCAGCAGAGCAGCGTCAGCGCCAAGCAAAGGGCAGATAGTTGCGATCGCGACTCGGCGAGGCCTGCGGAGGGGCATGAGAAACACATAAAAAGCCAAAGTCAAGCCGAACCGAACCGAACCGAACAATGTATTAAATGTTATAAGTTGTAGAGAGTCAGGTGAGGCCAGCGTATGAGTGCGAGCGAGAGCGCAGCAGCGTGCTTAGCTGGAAGGCAATGACACTTACATATCTACCATTTTGATACTCGTTCACGAGCGTCCAATAGAGCATATACGCTCTGAAGTTAAAGTCTTCAAATAGGCAATGCATACATATATATATATTATTATATATTCTTATAATATTATTATTATTCTATTATAAATTATTATTATTATTATTCTTAAATATTATTATTATTATAATTTAATGAATGCAGTGAAGGCTAACTCAGCAGAATAATAATAGTATAGCTTCATAGCTTGAACTTATCAGTTACAAACAGAAACAAACTCTAGAGTATCTCTGAGAGCATCTCAATTGACTTGCTCTACATATAGAGCTATATATTGGCTATATATTGGTGCGCCTATTGGAGGCTGGCCAATTCGAATTTAACAATAAACAAATTTAACTGCGAACGAGTGTTGGGCAGCCAGATATAAGCGACTATAAAATTCTTACTGCTTTTATTTTTTGTCTCTCTCCCGCTCTCTGCCACTCTCCCTCTCCCTCTCTCTCTAGTGCACTATCAAAAAGTAAATAAATTATTTATATTTATGTGGCTATGATTTGCTCTCCGGCTGCGAG